ACTCCTCGGTGGCCGCGGGGCGGGGCGTCTGGAGATGGACAGGGGAGGAGTCTCGTCCCGGTCGGCACAAGACTCGCGAGATTTCACCTGCCGCTCAGCGCGTGCGACCTCCCCACTTGTCCGTGGTTTATTTCTGGGTTTCTCCCTTTCTTATTTTCTGCCTGGGGTGGCGGTGGGTAACAGACCACGGGAAGTGGAGCAGGCAGGTAAGGGGGACCACGACACGGGACATGTCATGGCCAATACATGTGACATGCATGCACGCATGTGCTCCCTGCATGGAAATCTCACTTCAACTGAAGTTCTCAAAACACTGCAACCAAATTGACGAGCAGAGTGTATTAGTAACAGGCCGGTGGCGGCGGGACCTAAGAACGTCCCTGGGTGCTCTCTTCTCCCCCCGCGCCCTGGGCGGCGGACAGGCGTCCCCTCCAGATGGGGGATGGGGAAGAACCCACTAGCCAGACGGCTGTCCCTTTGTCACATCGTTCCCGAGAAGTGACAGTGGCTTTCCTTCCTGGCAGCTTGTCTCGGCCTGGGGCAGCGTCACGCCTCACACGTGCAGCCCAGCCCCACCCTCCAGGTCCTCCGCCTCCGGGTGGGGCGCCCCCGGATCCCCCTCTTGAGCCCCTCGGTCAGGGAACTGGACTCTCCGTCCTCGTGCACGTTCCATCCTGCCTGTCTGAGCCCTGTGTCTGCACACCAGTGTCCCCTTGGCCACTACGAGGCCCCCGCGGGCAGGCAGGGCTGGCGCAGGGCCTGGCACGCGGTAGGTGTTCAGTGTTTCTGAACCGACTGTCCTGCTGTTCCCACCGTTCAAGCCGGCCTTGGCTGTGCTGTGGCTCCCTCCCGCCACCTAGTGGCCAGTTCTAAGAAAACAGCCCACAGGTGGACCCGAGTTTCACAAGCTACGAGCCTCAGGGACCCCACAGCCACGCCTAGGCTGCAGTCCATGCTTCTGGTCAGGAGCAACTCAGACACAGACCCCACGGCACTTCCAGTGTGTATGTGCATCTCACGCGGACACAGTGCCTGGCTCCAAAACAAAAGTCAAATGAGGATGTGAGCCAGCTATTAAGCATCCATTCTGTGGACAAGCAACAGGCTGAATATTAAGATACAGGAAACACACATGTCCCAGTTCCGGACCTCCAAGAGCCCACAGGCGAATCTGGAGTGGCCACAGCCCAGACAGCCCAGCACACCTCACATACTTGGAGCACAGGAAGGTTGAGAATTACCAGTGACATCTGACCCTGCAGACAAAGCAGAAGTGTCCCGGAGAAAAAGTTTGAGAAAACCCATGGGATACTTTTCTTTTTCTCACTATCCTAACTCAGGTCATCAGAAAACCCTCTTGATACAAATTAAGAAAAAATTCTGTTTAATGAATTCACTTCATTCAAAAGTGAAGGTAAAATAAAGCCATTTTCAACAAAGGCTGTGGAAGAGTCAGTGAAGTCAGTTTAATGCATACGTGAGCACATACAAAAGTAATGAAACTTTACAGGAGCCAAAAATAAGAAATGAAAGATAAAGATAAGAAAAGAATCCACAAGGAGATGTGTAATGTGATGAAATAGGTATTTTTTTAGTACAGTCACTGAAATTAAAAGTAAGTTTTTGGACAGCAGACTAAACATGGCTGAAAAGACAGTATATGAAACTTGGCAGAAATGCCACCTTTAAGAAATTAGAGAGATGACAAATGAAAGGAGAGGAGGGACTTGGCAGAGACAGGAAAAGGTCCCGCGCAGACGCACCCGCAGGTCTGCAGGGAGAGGGCAGACAGGCCCAGAGGCAGCACCGGAGCGGGGTGCAGCCGTGACCCTCCCAGAGTGGGCGGAAGGCCTCCCCAGACCTGGCCAGTCAGGGGGCACCTGTGGGGTAACCAAAAATAAACCTGCAAAAAATGTTAAAAAATAAAAACTTAAAAAAAATAAACCCACATCTCACCACTTCATGACAAGCTGCAGAACGTCAAAGACAAAGTCTTTATTTAAAATAAATAAATAAATAAATAAATAAATAAATAAGCAAGCCCTGGCTGGCGTAGCTCAGTAGATTGAGCGCGGGCTGCGAACCAAAGTGTCCCAGGTTCGATTCCCAGTCAGGGCACATACCTGGGTTGCAGGCCACGGCCCCCAGCAACCCCACATTGATGTTTCTCTCTCTCTTTCTCCCTCCCTTCCCTCTCTAAAAATAAATAAATAAAATCTTTAAAATAAATAAATAAACTATACAGCTGATAGAACATGAGTTTAAAAAAAGAAAAAAAATAGGAGAAAGCATCAAAATGTTCAAAATGCTGAAAGGATACACAGCTAAATTATCATTCAAAAGTGAAGGTAAAATAAAGACATTTTTCAGCAAAGGCTGTGGACGCGTCAGTGAAGGGTGCACGTCGGGAAGAAAACCGACCCAGCCCGGAGAGCAGTGCAAAGTGAGAGGGCGAACGGGGGTGTCTGTGAAGGTCGGGGTGAGTCTGAGCAAGCACTGACGGCACCAACAACGACTTTTAAACAACAATCGTTATAACTAACTTGCACACTATGAAAGCTAGCCACTCTAGTTCCCTAAAATACTCAGCAGCTGGAACGCGAAAGGCAGACAGTGTGACGAGGTGAAGCCTTCTCAAGCCCTCATATTCTTTGGGAGGAGGGAAGAAGTTTTTATCAAGCATGTAGTTACCTTGAAAAGACAGTCACTAAAGAAGAAACATGGGGTGTTCCTTCCAAAACTACTGAGACAAGGAAAGCAAACGCAGAAACCTCGTGAGCTTTGGGGAAGGCGGAGCGATTCTGCCTCCACCTCCTCCTCCTCCTCCAACCACTGGTGACTCCGGTGGCCAGCTTGGGGGCTGCCATCGCGACACGGGAGCAGCTGCTGCCGGCCTGAGTGGAGGCTTTAATAAAGATTTTCCAGGAAAAAAAAAATAAATAAAAGGAGAGGCCACACCCGTAGTTGGATTTCCGAGGGCTCTCCCGGAAACCCGAGCGGCCGGGCAAAGGCCAGCAGGCCGCACGCCCACAGCCCTCCTGCTGAGCCCCGAGCGCACCGCTAGGGGGCGGGCACGCAGCTCGCCCGCCCGCCGCCGCCGCCGGGCCCACACCCTCCACTTTTCGGGTGGGACCCAGCAACACGGGAGGAGCGGCACTCTTCCCACACTCCGCAGGCCTGTTTTAGGGATCGGAGGAGGCAACGTGACCATCTGCTGAAAGTTTCCTGATGGCTGGAAAGGTCTGACGTGAACGTACAGAGTTGGGAATTGCAGGAGCTGCAAAGAGGAATCTTGAAATATCTCTGTCATTGCCTGGCGCCAGAATCCTGGGCTTTTCCGCATAAAACCCCGCGTGCACTGCAGGGCCAGGCCGAGCCGGCCCCACCCGGCCCCGCACGTAGTGGGGCCACCCTCTGGTCCAGAGGAGTCCTCGCTACACAGGGGGACGCGCGAGAAGTGTGTTGTGTCAGGTGCGATCTCGCGTCCGTCCCCACCTCTGGTTGCTTTGTGGGGGGGGCCGGGTTCGGTCCCGGTCAACGTGGGCGACTTGGTGTTACTTTAGCTCCCAGTTTCTTGGGGAAAAAACCCCACAAACATATAAACGCATGTGCGGGCACAGCTCAAGATTCAGCAGGTGGAGTAACTTCTTAAAACCTTTTCATGAACAACTTTTCTGTATCATTTTGTATCGGCGCAGGGGCGCCACCTGGTCGCTAGCAGGGTCATATGCTTCCCCCCTGATGTTTCCAGAGCCCAGAGGGGGGTGAACTTCGTGGGTTTTAGAAAGTGAAATGAGGCGCACCCCCAGCACCAGATGATGGGACGCTCGGTCCTGTCCTCACACGGCCATCTGTCCCGCCCGGGACCTTCAAGCAGGTCCAAATGGCCTGGGTCCTAACCCCACGCGGCTCCTCCTCGTCTGCACTGACGAGTGGTGGGACGGAACAGCGCCGGGGGAGGGGGCGTCTCTGGGGTGGGGATCAGAAGGCTGGCTCCGGGCACGCGGTGACAGGGCGGGAAGGACCTCACTGGCCTGCACTTTGCCCCCCGATGAGGAAGGACACCTGAGTTCTGAGCAGTGAGCCGAGTCCCAAGCACAGCCTCCAGCTGCAGAGGTGGACAGGGGGCAAGTGTGTCCGGGACAGAGATGGGAACCGCGCAGGGCGGAGCCTGCACCAGCCCGCACGGCCACCCTCTGTGCGGCACCGGCCGAGCCGCCTGCTCCGTGACTCAGGAGCCGTCACCGGCCTGCAGATCGCTGCACCCACTGCTGCAGGTGGGCCTCCCCAGCGGGGTCCCTCGTCTCTGCTCAGCTCCCCGACGGGTTCGAGTGTCAGGACACTGTCAGGAGCAGCATCCCAGCACATCGAGGGGCACTGGGCGCCTGGGAGGCTGGGAGCGAGGAGGAGAAAGGGAAGCTGAGAAAGGCAGGGAGGTGAGGGGAGGGGGCGCTGGGCTGCTATGCAGGGCCAGTTACTTTAAAACCCCTGGGGGGCGTGTGGGGGGCGGGGATCGAGGTCTTTTACAACCAGGAACAGAGTGTCTGCAGGGACCACCTGGGAGCGTCGACCACACCAGTGGGGGTAATGACCCTGAGCGTCCTCATCGGGGCTCATTCGTACTGTGGCAACATCAACTCTAACTGAGGTTTGGTTTTGGTTTTGGTTGCAGAGGCCGAGGAATGGGCGGTGAGTGGCCCAGGGAAGGCAGCGGCGGGGGAAGCACCACAGCCGGAGCTGGGTGACAGCAGCAGGACCCACGTGGCCATGGAACAGCAGCCTCCAGAGACGGCAGCCCGGCCCCCAGGGGCGGAGGGGAAACGCCCGCGTGCCCCCATCCTGCCAGGGGCCAGGCCGGGGCTGGGAGGCTCAGCCACAGGGTGCGGCACCGTACCCACCCGCAAAGCCCAGCCTCCCCCCGCCCCGTGGCCCCCACGCCCTCCTGCCGGCCCAACCTCCGCGTGGCGGCTCCTGCCCAAACACCACAAGGGACGAGGTGGTTCTTTCAGCCTGGTCTTTATTTATAGCCAAGTACAGAGTATACATGGTCATTTCCGCAGCTGCGGATGATCGCAACCAGGCGGTAGAAGGCAGAGGGAGGAGCAAGCGTCTCAAAGGAAAAGTCTTTCGTTACCCAGCTGTCGGCCTGCTGCTGCGGCAGGGGCAGCCACCAGGGGCCACCTGCTCGGGGAGGCAGAGGCCCAGAGACAGGAGATCGGTGGGACACTGGGCTCCAGACCCCGCCCGCCGCCTCCCCTGCCCACCCCACCTCCCCGGCTTTGTCCTGCCCCACCCTGAGGACGGGGTGGGGGGCACCGCCTGCCTCCACTGCCCAGCCCAGCACGCAGGTGCCACCCCACCCAACGGGGCTCCAGCCGGACCTGGCGGCCTGATGACGCCGGTGCCCGCCCTGCCCCCGGACAGGCGTCCTGTGGGGCCCAGGAGAGGCAGGGCCGCCCAGCAGCCGGGACCAGAGCGGGTGGTGGGGGGCGGCCGGGTCGGAAGGGAGCCCTGGAGACCCCTCCGCGCCCTCCCCAGGCCTGCTCCCCAGGGTCCCCGTGGTCCCCGCCACTGCTTCCGAACTCTTGCCCGCCCCCTTCACAGCGAAGGCCACCCGAGGTCACAGCACCCGCTCACAAGACCTGTGTCCCTCTTGTCCCAACTCCCGTCTCTGCGCCCACGGGTCTCACGCTGCCCAAGAAAGAGACACCCGTCAGAGGGAGCTCCGTCGGCCGGAAGGGGCGTGGGGCCAAGCCTCCCCACGATGGGCTCAGACCCTGTTTCCCCGCACACCGGGTCTGCGGACGGCACCTGGGAAGGGTGGCAGGGAGGGAGGAGCAAGCACCGAGGAGGGAGGCCCCGAGGCCGAGACCCCATGAGCACAGCCAGCGCCACCCAAGCACGCAGCGCATGGCTGCGGAGCACCCGGGCGACTCGGGGCCCCGTTCTGGCCTAAGGACTCCCCAGTGGCACCAGAGACCCAGGGGCTCTGCAATACCAAGACTAGGGTGGGTCCCAGAGAAAGCTCAAGGTCAGACCCCAGGCGGCTAAATGCTGGCCGCGACAGAGGGCGGAGCTTCCCGTCCCGTCCTGCGGCCACCAGGAGCCACAGAACGGGGGGCGTCGTCAGCACCGCAAGTGAGGCGGCCCAGCCTCAGCACCGCCTCCCGGCCCAGACCAGCACTGCCACCCGGGCACACTGAGGCTCGGTCCCAGCACCACAGGCAGGTGGGCAGGCGGCTCGGGAGCCCGGGCTCAGAGGGGAGAGGTGCCCCCCTTCCAGGGCAATGGGACCGACAGCCAAGGCACTAAGTGGTTTGGCACCTGGACGGGGACGGCCTCCCCGGGGCACACAGGCCCATGGGGGCCAGAGGACCCTCCCCCCCACCTGCCACACCCCCCACGCCTCAGAGCCACCCATGGCAGGGCGGGAGAGGCCTCTAGAGCCTCCACCGGAGGGCGCCCTCACGCTCCCAGCAGGCGGCTGCGGCCAGCGGGAGCCCCCTGGGGGAGGGGGCCATGACGGGGTCTCCCTGGTGGCTTGGGGGCGGCAAACCTCAGTTGGGGACTAGGCCTGACCTTTTGAAACAGCACAACAGAGTCAAATGGAACCCAGAAAAGGGGGGGTGAAATGGACAGCGCTGGGTGGTGGAAGGGGCGGCCGGGTGACGGGAGAGCACCGGTGACGGCGGGTGTGCCTGGACGGCTCCCCGGGGCTGGGGCAGCACTGGGAGGGGAGGGACCTGAACCGCTCCCGGTGGGGCAGCCGCAGGGGATGAGCCCAGGGCGTGGGCCAGCTGGGGGCGGGGCTCTGGAACCAGCTCTGCTTGGTCCCCCGACTTCCTGCGCCCCTGAAGCAAGACTCTTCCGGAATCTGTGCTTCCCCCACAGATGCAAGTTTTTGCCAAGAGGGAGCCCTGGGGGAAGCTGGGACTCTGCACCCTAAAACCCCAGCGCATCAAGACCTACGGACTCCATTTCCCGCCCGCCCCTCCCCCACACCCAGTGCTGCCGAACCCTCAGGTCGGCCCGTCTGGGACGCCGCTAAAGGTGAAGGCTAGTGCCACCCCACCTCTCCGCAAAGCCCCACGTCTCGGGGACAAAAGCTACTGTCCCCTGCGCAGGCGGAGCTCTGTCGTCCCCCTGTGAGGGGCTGCCAGCCGTCCTCCTGCCCCCAGAAGTCCTCACCAACACCCAGCCTGCAAGGGACAAGGGACGGGCCACTCCGGCTTTCGAGACCCCGGGATGCAGGTGAGGAAGGAGTCGTCGAGCGACCCCCCCCCCAGCAGTGAGGGACAGGCGCAGGGTGGCTGTCGGGACGACAGGGAAGACACACTCTCCCGAGGGGCCCCTTCCCTGAGTTTGCTTTTTTGGTTGAGGTCTTGCCTAATGTCAACTCAAAAATTAAAAAAAAGAAAAAAGCATCTGTCATCAACACGTCATGAAGCCCCGGCCTCCAGCAGGAGCACTCTGCAGGCGCTGCCGCACCCCCGCTGCCCAGGCGCCGGCCCCTCGTGCCCTGGGACGCGTCGGGACAGGCCACCTCCCCGCGCGGAAGCCCCAGCCCCAGCCCCCAAGCATCAGCGCCGGCCCCCCTGCCAAATGCTTGCGGCCGACAGCTTTACAGTGTGTGTGTGCACGTACACAAAAATAGCTCCTTCTACGGGACGTGTATTTGTCACTGCTCACAGGATGGCTTCGCCGCTCGCCGCCCGTTACCGAGAGTTGGCACAGTTCAGCACGCACGCTTGGGGTCAGGGTCTGCTTCGGGATCAAAGGCATTTCTTCGTGTTTTCTTAAGTAAGCAGAGTTGCAGGAAACCGTGTGTTCGGACGGCCAAGACCCCCCCGCCGCTGCCTCCCCCCGCCCCCGGGTCTCCTGGAGCGGCGGGGGGGCCGGGGCCCCGGGGACGCGGGGTCAGTGCAGCCGGCTGCTGGACTCCGAGGCCTGCCTGGTGCGTGCAGGGGTGCAGCCTCTGACGCAGCCGTTGGTCTGCCGCTTGGACGGCCCGCCGTTGAGGATGTCCTGGATGTGCTGCACGATCAGGTTGATGGCCACTGCGGGGCGGAGACGGGCGGGGCGTCAGGGGCAGCCGGGGCGGCGGGGTGGGGGGGCTGGTGTGTGCTGCGTGCGGGCGTGGGCAGGGGCCAACACCAGCCCCCCGAGCCCCGACGGGGGTCCTCCGCCTCCCACACCGGAAGCTCCCCAGAGCAAGGCAGGCACGACCTGGGGCCCTCGAAGCCCCTGCCAACAGACGGGCTCCCTGGCCGACGGTCAGACTCGGCGGCGCAGAGGGGACCGGCACAAAGCCTGCCTTCGCCCCGTCGCCGCCCGAGAGCCGAGACCCGTCCACGGGAGACCTCCCGGCCTCCCACCCAGCACAGCGACCGCACAGAAGGTCCTCTCCCCCTAGGACACTCCAACATGGGACCCCCTTTTCCTACCCTCAGGAACAAATCATGCAAATGACTAACGTCACCCAAACCAGGCAAAGGTCTAGTGCTTCCTGGTGGGGGGGGGCGCACAAAGAGCCACACGTCCCCCCGAGCTGTCCTGATGGTGCAAACCCACCCCGACAGAGGGGGGGCGGACGGACACACAGACAGACCCGGGGGAGGGGCCGCCCTGCAAAGCAGCCCCGTCGTGGAAAAGGGGGGAAAGGCTGAGAGAAGGTGGGAGACCGATGGCGTGGCTCAGCAGCACAGAGCCGTTTTCAGGGAAGAAGAACTGGAGTAAATTGCACAGCAGACGAGGAGGCAGGGCCTCCCCCCGCACCGCCTCTTTCAGCCCAGAGAAGGACGGCCCACGCATGAGCCCTGGCACCTGTTCGGGGCCTGTGCCGGAGGCCGCCGGCGGGCAGAATTCCTGTGTCACCACAGCGGCCCCCACTGGAGTCCCCACACCCCGCCCCCGAGCGTGACGCCCCGCAAGGACTCACCTAGATTGTCGACACCCGTGGGGATGATCACGTCTGCGTACTTCTTTGTCTGGGGGAGACATCCGAGAAGCGTTAGTTACGGGGGCATTAGGACACACGGGCCTCCGAGAGGGGCGGGGGCGGGGGGGCCTGGTCTCTGCCGGGCCCGGAGGGTGGGTGGTATTTTTTACCCGATTTATCTGAACGACACTACACGGGCTTTTCCTGAAGTTCTCATCAGGGGACAGACAGGTCCTTGGAGGACTAGACCTCAGACCTCAGCCACAGTTTCACCACAAGGAGCAGGAGTTGGTAGCACCCGACGGAGGGGGGTGGGGGGCACCTCGGGGCGACCACGCGGTGGGCTGGCCTCGGGCGAGCCCGGGAGCGGTGTCCCCACGGGGCCCCTCGCCCTGGCTCTGTCATCACACTGATTTTTTTCAAAGTCCCAATCCTTTCTTTTTTTTAAGTTACTGAGATGCCGTGGACCCCGTGTCCGGGTGTGTCACCAGGTTCAGGGTGGGACCGCACGAACCAAGTCTTGTGTCCGTGGGCATCTCTCCTCTGCAGCGTCCAGACCAGAACGGCCGAAACACACCCGAGTCAGGGCCCGGGCTGACTCGGAAGTGGCTGGCTCTCGCTGGGACCCACAGAAGCCGGACGGCAGGAGCCACCCAGGCCCCGTGTGTGCAGGACTCGGAGCTCCTGCGTGTCACAGCCGCGTGCACCGGCAGGGGACGGGGGGTGGGGGGCGGTGGACCACAAACACATCCGCTTCGCGTTGGTCATGCCGTGGCCGGGAGCCGCAGCGGTCCCTGGGCGGCGGGCGGAGGGAGGGGTGGAACTCCACAGCTGCCCGGCCGCTCCGCCCGCTTCCAGAAACCTAATCTGCAACCCGATCCCCAGGGTTACTCGCACTGACTCAGCCTGCCCAGCCCCGGCCGGAAACACAAGTCCAGTTTGCTCCGGCTCGAGACCCACGGACAGACTTAAAGGAGCAAAGGCGGGGGGAGCCCACCTTCCCAGGAGAGGGAAAAGGAGGAGGAACCGCTAGGAGACTCGGGGAAGATGCCACCTCGGCCTCGCTCTGCACCTCTCCTCACGGCCGCCACGGCCCCGGCCCCCGCAGAGCACCCCCAGACCCAGCTGGGTCCCCCCTCCGTCGTTCCCGGAGCGGAGCCCTTGGGGAGTTAGACCAGGCCTGGTCAGCCTGGGGAGGACACGTGGCCCCAGGTGTGGGGGCCCCTCCTCCAGCACAGCCGGCCCCCCACCCCGTCCCTGGTGGCGTCCCTCATATTCACTGTCTTCCCCCAGGAAGCCCCCCACACCCCACCGCCCCTCTCGGAAAGGTCTCCTCTCGGGCGTCCCGGCTGCCGGGACCGATGGCTCTGGGCCAGGACCGACACACGGAAGCCTGGCACCCAGCTGGCGCCCTGCCCAAGGGAGACGCGTCTGGGCCGAGACCAGCTCACAGCAGGCTCGGCCGCAGTGACCGAGGGTCAGAGGGAAGACCCCGCAGCCGAGTCCCCTGCACACACGCCACCCACCGTGTGCACACCCTTCCCGGATCCAAAGGGCCGAGTCTGTCCCGAGACGGGACGCACCTTCCACAGAGGGCCACCCCGGAGCCCAGCCAGGACATGGGAGAGCTCGCTGGGACCGAGCAGCACGCCCCTAAGGGCCCCCGGCAGTGACAGGCGGGACGGAGGGGGAGGACACCCTTCCCTGGGCCCCGGGACGGGGGCGGAGGGGGACACCCTGCAGGGCGCCACGAGCCCGGGCTCCCCACCCCGCCCCCGCGTGTGCCCACGTGGTGCACCTAAGTCTTAAACTCGGAATCCAGCGGAAACCCGGCCGGACCGGGACTCACCGGCAGGCAGAACTCCTCGAAGGCGGGCTTGACGAACGTGATGTACTGGGTCAGGATCTGCTCCAGGTCCCGCCCCCTCTCGCTGATGTCTCTCAGCACTGCGGGGGGGGGGGGGGGGGTCAAAGCGCTGCGGGGCCCACGCACGCATGTCTGCCTTCCCGAGGCCGGGCTGGCTCACGGTGCCACGGTGCTCCCGTCGGACAGCCCACCAGCTGAGTCCCGACCCCTCCGTGGGGCTGTCACCGCAGACTGACCGGGACCCCCCACCCCGCCATGAGAGAAGCACCAGTTACCACGTCACGGCCAGGTCACAACTCGCTCCCGGGCCGTCGGGACACAGGGCCAAGCCGAGCGCTGAGTCTGACCCAGCTCTCGGCACAGAGCGGGAACCACGGGGACTCAGAGCCGGCTGCCTGGCCGTCACCGTGACCCGACCCAACTGGGCCGGGGCGGGTCTGACGCAGGGCACCGCTCGCCCACCCCTTCCACTCAGCCACAGCCGTGCACCCAAGTCGGAAGGACCCGGAATCAATACAATTCCTCAGTTGTCCCAGGTCCCCCTCCGGGTTCTTCCGGGTCCAGGGGAACGTGAGGGTGAGTGGCAGGAGACCCCCATAAGGACCAACGCCTCTCCAGGGCTGCGTGACTCACGGGGTGTGACAGATGAAACCCGGGAGCTGGGTCCAGCCTGCAGGAATGTCCCCGTGACCCACAGCTGCTCCTGCCTAACCCCCCCCCCACCCCGCACCTCGCCCACACAGAGCACACGCCAGGCCCGCCCTCGGCCCTGCGCGGAAGGGGAGCGGACCCGTAGAGACAGCTGCGGGAAGCCCCACAGGCGCACCAGGGAAGGGACAGCAGCACCTTCCCGGGAGGCACGGGAAGGAAGGCCGGGCTGCCAGCTGAGCCCACAGAACCCCAGGAGGCCGCCATCCTGTCTTCCCCCACTTCACAGAAGAGCCGGAACAAGCGAGGGTAGGAGGACTGGCCTTCAGACCCTGCCCAGATCACCCGTGTGAGCGAGCGGCTGAGATCCGCCCGCCGTCTAGGCCAAGGCGGTGACTCGGGTGCAGCTCTACCCCGCCCCGTGGTGCCTGGGCCCCTCCCCCAGCCCTCCCGCACCCCCTGCCCAGGCCACCAGCTCCTGGGGACCAGGCCCCACAGAGCCACGTCAGGCAAAGGGGACTTCCGGTCCTCGAGGCCAGTCTGTACTGACCAATGCCCCGCCAGGCACTGTCCCCGTGTCACCTCCACTGTCCCGGGAGGACCGCTCAGCGGATGACGGGCGGGAGAACGAGGTACAAAGGGCACGGGCAGAGCTTGCCCGCGGCCACCCCCTGCCACTAGGGGGAGCCGGCACTCGAGTCCGTTCTCGGGGCTAGTGCTTCTCCTCCCGGACCCCACGCCGTGTCCCCCTGATGTGCGGGCGCGAGATTTTGCACCCCGTACCCCTGTGTGTTGCCTGGGTCACCGCCCACCCCACCCCAGTCCTGACCCCCCGGCCCCACGCAGCCCCCACGCTCTGCTCATCGCCCCCCAGAGCCTACCGCGGGCTCGGTTCCTAGAGAGCTTTCTGGAAACAGAAGGGCCAGACAGGCCGGCGGGCGTTCCCGCCCCAGGGGCCCCGCACCCGGCTCCGGCCTGCACCCGACGCCCACAGGACCTCCACGGGAACCGGCATCCAACCAGAGGTGTTTCCGGCGAAACCAGGACATAAATCTCTTCTTCCACCGCTGGGAGCTCACGAGCCCTTGGTTAACGGCAGTAAGCTCCTAATCCCTTCTCGAATGTCACCCAGCATCTGGGAAGCAGGACATCCCCCGTGCTGGGCGCCTGCGGCTGGCCCCGAGCCGCCCGCGGGCCCCCGGGGGCCCCGAGAATGCAGGCACCTCTGCGGCAGAGCCGGGTGTCGGCGTCCGTGTCCACGAAGAGCTTCATCTGGAACAGGTCCCGCACCTCCTTGGAGTAGAAGGCCAGAATGCCTTCGAAGAGCACCACGTCCGCGGGGTACACGGTGACCGTCTCCTCCTTCCTGCAGGCACGGGGGCGGAGGGGGGGGCGGGCTGAGCGGGGAGCCGGGGGTCCTCCCCGCAGGCGTCCCACACACAGCGCGCAAGCGCAGCCCGACGCAGCCCTCGGTCCCCTCCTCCCCCGGGAGGCCCAGCAGAGGGCAGGGCCGGCCGGTCCGAGCGCCCAGCGTGAGGCAGACGCAGAGGGAAACCGCCTGCTGCGGAGTGGGGACCCGAGACCGAAGCGGAGACGCCGCCTCCTTTTCTCGAAAGGTGTCTGCAGCGATGCGCTCGGGCCTGGCTTCCCGGCCGGCTCCAAACCAGCGGCTCCGAGTTTCCCTGCAACAACCCCGCCCCACCCCCCCACCCCCACCCCCGTCCTGGGGCGACGAGAAGCAAGGAAGGAGGAAGGGACCGAAGAAAGTTCCAGCTGCACCCGGCGAACCCATCCCCTTCAGTCTGGAACGCGTCCGCACTGTTCCAGGAAGGGCCTGGGCGACGCCCCGACCTGGCCGCTGCCAGGGCGGCCGCGGGGACAGGCAGGCGGGGCCCGCGGCCGGAGCCGGCGGAGCGGCGCGCTCACCGGGAGTGGGAGACGAAGTCGTACACCGGGATCTGCACGGTCTTCCCCTCGGCGATGTCTCGGAGGGTCTGGAGGATGAGCTCGTTGTCAAGGGCATCTGAGGGGAACCGAACTGCTAAGAGGAAGGTTCTAGAAGGACCTCCCCGTACCGGCGCGCAGGGCACCCCCCCCACCCAGGCCTGCCGGTCACCCCTGGGCACCACACTCTGGGGAAGCATGTTCTCCGCCCCCCCAAGAACACCAGACCTCTACCCCAAGCAGCACGCAAACTCCGTGTCTCAGAACGTGTGCGTGAGCGCCGAGAAGCGGGTTTTTCTCCCTGCCCCGAGTCCTTCCCTGGCCTCGGGCCCGCTCTCCTCCCTCCGGGTTTGGTGGCCGCCCCGGGATGCACCCACGTCCACCTGGAAAGCTCCCCAGGACCCGGGGAGAGGGGCAAGCACCATGCCCACCAGCCCCAATTTCCAACAACTAGGGAACCCCCAGCCGCCCTGGCTGGTGTGGCTCGGTGGATTGAGTGCCAGCCTGCAAACCAAAGGGTCACCTGTTCAATTCCCAGTCGGGGCACGTGCCTGGGTTGGGGGCCAGGTCCCAAGCAATGGGTGTGCAAGCAGCAACCACACATTGATGTTTCTCTCCCTTTCTCCCTCCCTTCCTCTCTCTCTAAAAAATTAAGTAAACAAAATCTTAAAAAAAAAGAACCTCCAGCCAAAGGGGCAGTGTGCTGATCAAGGACCAAGGACTGTCCTGGCAAAAGTCACTGAGGCCGCCACCCCAGGCCCCCACCGCCCCCCTGCCAGCCAGCCCATGAGTCTGACACCCACGCACATCTGCCCAGTGCCGGGTGCCGGGTGCCGGGGACAGTGGGATGGACAGGCTGCTTCAGAGTGGAGGGGACAGGACCACCAGCCGTGCATGGTCTCTCCTGGGTCTGGCCCATCTCGAGTGACGGGCTCACACAGGGTCACCTCGTCCAGGACACAAACCCCACGAAGTTTGGGGAGCCGAGAACTGCGTGCCGTGTGGGAAAACTGCCTCCCGTGCAGCCCCCCCGGGACCCTGCCAGGCTCCCTCAGCCCCCAAACAGCAAGGCCAGGCAGCTCCCCCCTCTGCCCCGGGAGCCCCAGCTCACCTGGGTGATCGAAGTTGAACTGGCCCCTCAGGGCCTTGGCCTTCTGCTCCGACGTGAGGACGCGGTAGAAGCTGTCCTGGCTCACGATGACCACCTTCTTCTGGCGGCAGTCCACCTCGTTCTGGCCCAGGAGCTGCACGATCTTCGCGCACACGGAGGTCTGCGAGGAGAGAGCGCTACGAGTGGAGGGGTGGCCCCGGCCCCGGGCAGCGAGGGCTCGGGTGCGAGAGCCCGGGGCTGAGGGACAGGGCGCATCTGCTGGGGGGGGGCAGGCCCCGCCCACAGCACAGCTGGCTCTTCTCGGGCATCGGCGGTGACAGTGGGGGGGCTGTCGTTTCTCGCCCCCTCCCCCCAAGCACAGCCTTTCCCAGAGCACCGCTGACAGTCCCCACAGGCTCACTCTCCACTGCTCGCGCCCGGGGACGCTCACACAGAAAGGGCAGCAGGGCGGACAGGAAGCCCACGGTGGCGGGCTGATGGGCCAGACGGCTCCGGTCGAGAAGTGACCGGGTGTTCACGGGACGTCGCTCTGTGTGTTCCCCCCCAACCCACGCAGAGCTCAGGCGGCCCCCAGGAAAGCCAGGCATGGCGTTCCGCCACCCCCCCCGCCTCTGCCGCCGGTGCCTTTTGCTCTCGTCCTCGGCCTCGGGTCCTTCACCCACTCGGCATAAAACCACGTGCCAGTTCACAGACACGTGGAGCGAGAGTAACCTGGGATCCCTACGTCGCCGATACCTACACACGCACCGTTGGGGACGCCATTCCCGAGTGAACTCGAACCCACGGGCTCCGTTTCAAATGGGCCAGGAAAGCCCAGGGCACCGGGGAATCGGGCACGGGACACAGAGAGAGGCTCACGTGACTCCTCTCCCCACGGTGGGGGGGGCGTAGCTTGAATTTCCCCACGGCCGGGGGAGGGGCCGCCGGGCTGCGCCGTGCCCCCGAGAGAGAGCCGTCCTCTCCTGCCTGAATGTCCCCTGGCTTCTACGTCCCCTTCACTCTTCCCTGGGTGCCCCTGTCCCAGGCACCAGAGGGTGCCACAAGGTGTCTCACTCCCTCGAGAAAGGAGAGAACTGGTCGATCACTCGGGGGCCAGCCGGCGGCAGAGCCTGCAGCAGGGGAAGGAGGAGGGAGCGAGCGACTTCCGGGGAGAGGGGGGCCCAGGACTGAGAATAATTACAGTCACCCGAGACAAGCGCCAGATGACCCCACGTGCAGGCGGCACCCAGTCCAAGTCAGAGAGACGACACGCCGAGGGCAGGGTGCCAGGGCCCGGGGCGGGGCGCGGACAGAGGCCTCGGGGTCCGGTTTCGGCCTCGGGGGATCGAGTTCTGGGGACCGGCTGCCCGACCGCCTGAGTGCATGCCTCCACCGCGACCGCGAGGCCCACGGCGTGCGGTTAGGGCGGGGAAGCTTCCGCCAGCCTGGGCGGCCACAGTGAGAAACAATGACTGTGGTTACGAGGGCCGGGCTGCCACGGGCAGCTTCCTGCTTTGCTGGGTACTGGCTCCCCTTACTTTAAAGTGACCAGGTTTACCGATCACCACCTTAATCCGGGGAAAACTGTTCCTCTTCTGGGGGTGGGGACAGGGCGACAGAAGCTGAAGGACCTGCACGAGGCTGCAACCCGAACGGCCAAACCCACGGCCCGCCCCCCGGGGCTCACCCACCCTCCCCAGCGGGCCAGAGCCAGGCTCCCCCCGAGCAGTCCCCACACACGCGGCACGAGGCTGGGCGCCGGACACGTCCCGCCCAGTAGGGGGCGTGTGAGAGGCAACCACACATGGATGTTTCTCTCCCTCTCTCCCTCCTGTCCTTCCCCTCTCTCTAAAAATAAATATTTAAAAAAAAAAGCTAGAAGAAAAAAAACAGCACCCGCCCACCTGTCCCAGGTATTGGAAAGCTAAACTTGGATTACATTCGAAAGCAGCCAGCCGTTCGAAGCCGGTAGCTGTGGGCCCGAAGGACGCTTGGCAACGCAGGGCACACGCCCACAGGGACCTTCACGACCCGGCGGGCCCCCGGGTGTGCTGAGCCGCGAGCAGGGCCCCCCTTCCTCAGACACGCCCCCTCGGGAGCCCCCGGGGGGGTCAACAGCTGGTCCACAGGCCCCAGCGGGTGGGTCCCGGCAGTGCCCTCAGGCTCCCACGCCCGCCGCTGAGGACGTGCGCCTCTCTCAGCGATGATCACAGGGAAGGGGCCCCGACTTCTGGGGGGTCTGCAGGACCCCTCCCCCAGGCCCCCGCCCGTTCCAGCATCACAGAATAAACGCAGCGAAACGCAGGCAGGGTGGTGGGCTCCGGGAGCTTCTTGTTAGGAGCCTTCCTCCACACAGCGCTCACTGTGACAAGGGCACCCCTACTGGGGGGGGGGGTGTACGCGTGCACACGTGTGCATGGGTGCACACGTGCATGCCCCCACCCTCTCAGGGAGCCAAGCTCTGGTCTCAGCCACGGCCTGGCTGACAGCTGCCACCAAGCAAAGGCAGGGCAGGGCAGGACGGTGCCTGTGTGTCCAGGCGGTGACGCAGGCCCGGCAGGTGGGCGTGAATCACGTAGCACCAAATGCCGATGGACTGCGGTCTCCCCGTGCAGACTCTGGGCCCGAAACGGGGGTCTGTGGACCCCCTCTGCACTCCCCACACAGACACACTCTCTCACACTCTCTTACACTCACACTCTCATAATCTCTCACACTCACACTCTCACTCACACGCACACACTCACACCCTCACACACTCCCAGTCACACCCACTCACTCACACTCTCACACTTTCACACACTCACACTCTCACTCACACTCACAATCACTCTCACAATCACACACTCACTCTCACACTCACACTCTCTCTCTCACACTCACTGGGCTCGTCTTGCTGCTGTGCACCCCTCTCCCAAAGGTGGAAACCCTGAGGGGGAGCCGGTCGGAGGGTCTCTTCTCCCCGCCGTGCAGGCGCGGGTGCGGTCGGCCCTGTCGCCCTCCCCGTCTTCCGAGAGGGTCGGGGGGCAGGCTGAGACGGCAGAGCCCATGAACAGGGTTGGGGTGGGGGGACTCTGTCCCGGGAAAAGACAAGGACAACTCTGGCCGGGGCATCCCAATGCCGCCCACTGGCTTCCGTCTAGCCCCCTGGGCGGGGATAAAGAGCCTGTTAACAGACGACGGCCGGGACCCGGGGTCCTTCTGGGGGACAGGCTCCAGAGGAAAGGCGCCGACCTCCCCGTTTCCAGAGACTGAATGGACGGAGGAGCGCGCGGCCAGCTTGACCCTCTGCCCAGTCCGCGAGGAGGCCGCCCGGGCCGGGCGCCAGGCTTTGTTGTGAAGCAGACCAGTTAACGCTTCCCGTCCCGCGAGCCCTGTTCCGACGGCAGAGACGCTATCGAACCCCGGCTTTTTAATTCTTGTTTCCTCCCAGATCTCCCCGGGCGCCGGTGCCAGCGCCTGACCACCGGGCGGCAGCGGGGGAGGGGGCCGAGAGCAGGCGCTCAGCGCCCACGTCCCCTCGCCTGTCCTTGGACCCGGCGACCTCAGACTCACTCCTCGCGGCCACCGCCATCTCCCCCCAGACTCCGGTTCCTCCAGTCGCTCCTTCCGGATCGTTCCCCAGCACCCCCCGAGTCCCCAAACTCCCCGGAGTCCAACGGATAAACAAACGCAACCCAGACCATGTTCCTCAGTGCGCTGACCATGCTGGGCGCCATCAGACGTGACGACGGCCACTCTTCGGCTGGAAAAGAGGAGCTGCAGTGACACCTTCTCCAAGGATCATCTCTGGCTGCCTCCAGGGACAGGAGCCACACTCGCTCGGATACAGGCTGACCTTCTGTCGGGGACCCACGCCAACTCTGTGCAACTGTTTGGGCAAAACGCCAGTGCACCTCGGTGGCCTTCTCTGGACACGGGGCTGGAGCAGCTGGACGTGCCGGGCACCCGAAGTGGCCTGAGCCAGCCCTCTCACCTTGCGGGAGAATTAACTCAACTTGGGTCCGGGCCTCACGGAAAACATAAAACGCGAAAGTTACTAAGAAAAAACACGAGAGGAAGTCTTCAGGGTCCAGGGCGTGGCAGAGATTTTGGGGGCTTGACACGGAACACCTAACCCGCGGAGACACTGAACGTCACCCAGAGTAAAACTCGGTGGGGCCTGGTCGGGCGGCTCAGCTGGCTGGAGCGTCTCGGTTCACCAAGGTTGCCGGTTCGATCCCCGGTCAGGGCACATACAAGCAGCAGCCAACGAACACATAAATGAGTGGGACAACAAATCGATGTCTCTCTCTCTCTCTCTTCCTCTCCGTGCCCCCTTCCCCCCGCCCTCTAAAAATCAATCAATAAATTTTTTTTCAAGTAAAACTTGGGGAAACTCTCTGAAGAGGATGAAGAGACAAGCCGCAGGCAGGGACACTCACAAAGCGGGCTGTCACCTGGCACGTGTAAAGACTTTCCAAGCCTGCACAGTTCAGAGACCATCCGCGAGGACGTGGGCGGAAGACACACAGAGGCGGTGCCCCCCACGCAGGTACACACACGACACGGCAGCACACGAGAGGAGATCCGGCTCCACCAGCCCCCGGGGACACGAGAATCCAAACCGGGACGTCACTTCATGACGGTCCTATGAGAACAGCTGCAGACGGAAGCCCAGTGCTGACAGCCAGCACCCGTGACGAGAGAGAGTTCTACATGCCAGGAGCACGGTGGGTGGTGAGGGGATCCAGCTACGCAGGAGAACAATTCCACGCTTTCTGGAAAAACAAACATGCAACCGCCCCAGGACCTGGCAACTGTGCCCCAGGCGTGTACCCCGGAGACGTGACCGCGTGTTCACACGGACACACGTGCACGGCAGCTCTCCCACCCGGATGCCCCCCGACGAGGAAAGGTCACACAGCCGGCGGCCCGTCCACCCCGCCCCACCCCACCCCACCCCACGGGGCGCTGCTGAGCCACCAGAGGGCGCCAGTTACTGCCCCACGAATCTCCAGGGACGGAGGCTCACGGGAGAAGGCTGCGCCACGCACCAACCCACGCGTGTAACATTCTAGAAACGACGAAGTGTGGAAACGGGGCACCGCCAGTGGCCGGCCAGGGTCAGGGACGACAGGGGTGGCGGCCCCCCACGCACGACGGGGCAGGACGGCCCCGTGATGACGCAAACATGTTTTT